CCTACTTACTTAGAATGCTTTGATTCGAGCGCCACTGATGAGCCTTATGTAGACAAAATGCGCGTCTGCCGTACTAAATCTTAAGCCTGGAATTTCTTAAAATAGATTTTGTTAATGCGACTGTTCAAAAGTTATCTGCAGTTACCCGTCCGGATCACCTGAGATCACTCCCGATTTTTGGTGGGGTTTGTGTTGCTCAGTCTTTAGTTTCTATGTTGTGTTTGGTGGACTGTTGTTTGTCTTTTCGTTGTTTTTCGGTTTTTTGATATAGCATTGTCAGTTCGTTTTCGAGTTTGACTCTCCCTTTGTTTTCTTCCGCCTCTCTTTTAATGATTAATATGAAAAGTACAGTTTTCAAGAAATATCGTACGCCCATGTATTATAATAATCAGATAAACGAAGGAGTAATCACAAGCCATATTTTTAACTTAATTTTCTGATACATATATATATAGATTCTTACATTGGTACAAGTGGATTCTCGGTAATCCACGAGTAACTATTGAAGAATCTGTATCTCTAATGATTATCAAATAAATTTTTAATTTTTAATAAACGAAAATCCTATTTGAGTGCCTTCCACATTCCGGATTTCTACGTCTTTCAAATGTGAAAATGTCAATTTCTCTAACACCTGTTAGCACATTTCGATTCATCCAGTGACCTGATAAAGGTTATGACCCTTTAACTCAGCCAATCATCATCTGAGATCATCGGCAACCACACGTTGATTAAACTTTTTTATACAATGGGTCCAGAAAGGGTTATTTTGTCAAAGAATTAGAGAAACAAATCACCTAGAATACTTAAACCCTAAGCAGTCCAGGGCAGCTGAAAGAGGTGTCCCTCCTTTTATATCACATATTTTTCATTGTAAAAATTAAAGTTGCGTGAACTTTGAAATTTAAGAATCATATGTATCACGGTATATTTGTGTAACTATTTTCATTATTTCTTGTTTGGTTTATTCTATATACATTTACTCCGTGTATGTATCACCTTTTAAGCATTGTCAGGGACAGCCCCGTTATTCCGACACCCCAATAGTCCGACACCCCATTGATCCGACACTCCACTTGTCCGACATCCCATTGATCCGACACCCCACTAGTCCGACATAAGAATATTTAAAAAAAAAAAAAGAAAAGAAAAAATTATTTAGAAAGCCAAATAAAAGGTTTGTTCAATATTAAGAGAAGGACGTTATCCTTTGTGTGAACTGACGATTTATCAAGAAAATCAAGTTATCAAGATAGGTTGGTGTTTAAGTGGTAAAGTAGCAGAATTTCATCATTAATTTAGCATAATGTAAGCACAGCATACTTTGTAGAGTGTTATCGAATTACCTGGACAACTCTGGAAACACTGTATCTCAGATACAGGTTAAAGGGGACACAGTAAGAAAATAAAGGAACCAATGAAGCTTTGCTGTTTACACGATTATATATGTGAATATGGCTTGCGTGTATAAGATAAGACGGGCACTTTTTTCTGGTATAATTCAAGCAGTAAAACGTAAGAACGGTTAACTCAATTAAAACATCTGATTTAATTGATTTTTTTTTTTCTAAAAATGTAACAGTAATGCCATTATTTGAAGAAGAACAACATGCAGTCTAATTTGTCTATATGGGAACCAATTTTTTAAAGAAAATGAAATTAAGGCTAAACACTTGTCTTGAAGTCATCTGTCTTAATTTCGCTCTTTTTCAAACAGTGAGTAAACTGGTTAAATGATTATCTCCCATCCAAGTAATACTCTTCGGTGTTTGACGCGTTCGCCGTTAGGAATCTATCGACTATATTAGTTTACAAAATATGTCCTGATAAATATAGTAATAGTGAAAAATAAACAATACAATGGGGTTGTCATATAAATTATTTCATAATTTTCCTCGACATGACGAACGATGAGATCATAAGGTTATTGGAGTTTTGTATAAAATCATGGTTGTATGGTTATTTGCTATGAGAACAATTCAGATCCTAACGGGCCAACCACTATTTTTTTCTTTAATAGCTGTATTTGTGACAGGTGCATGCCAATAATCTTCATATGTATGAAGCTGGAGCAGAGACGTTAAAGAAAGAACTAATATTAATTGATTGTTTTTTGCTTAACGTCCAGTGGCAAATATTTCATAAATGTTCATAAAATAGGTCTCGACCGAAAAGAAGGACGGGAAATTTGGAATTCCGCTGTGAATGAGGGTATAAATAAACTCATCATAGATACCAGGATTAAAATTGTGTACGCCAGACGCGCGTTTCGTCTTCAAGACTCATCAGTGATGCTCGACTCAAAAAAGTTAAAAAGGCCAAATAAAGTACGAAGTTGAAGAGCATTGAGGACCCAAAGAGTATATTGGATAGGGAAAGAAATTTAGCCTTACAATAGGTCACCTACGTACCCCTTAAAGAGTTGATGTAATGGGTCTTAAAGTGGAAAGAGTGTGGTACGCTCTTTACACGAGGCATCGTATTGTACGTTCTCATTCTAACCGGACGTGGCTGCAAATTCAAACATCCAGCACTTCCAAACGGACGCCCCACTTTGAAAAGGGTTATACTTTAAGTCGGAAGAAGATCAAGAGATGACCTTATATCTATACCCCAGTTACACTTGGGGTCAGAGAGAACTTATAAGAAAATCAAAATGATATCAATTTAAAGTTAATAATTACTTTGGAATTAATACATCAAGCTAAATTCAGATGAACGTTATTTGAACATGAAATTTCAGGCCCGGACAGGCTTACTTGCGCAAAAATATAGATAATTTTACAGAATGGCCCAGTCAGACTAACTTGCCAAAAATATTAATGATTTTACACAATGAAAAAGTTGAAGGCTATGCATTAGTCATAATCACGAGCCAAGCATTTCTTACGGTGATATACCTGCATGCCAAAAAACTAAGTATACATCAAAAGATAAAAAAAAGTTCTGAAATATACAAAAAAGAAGAGGAAGAATTTAGTGTAAAACAATATCGTTTCCCTTACATGAAAAGAAGACACACATGACTCTGTTTAGGGTTTCTCTGGCTACCTTGTCCTATTTATTTGGACTCGATGCCAGATTAATTCCGTGTACTACCGTATCAGTGGTGTCTTGCTCATCTCGCATAGTACAGGAGGACGTCAGGTCGATATTTGGTCGGTTCAAATAAACGACTTTGGTATGTGCTACTTCTATGCCAAGCAAGAGAAAACACAGGTGAATAATATGCCCGTTATTACTAGCACATTAAAAATGCATAAAATGTATCGTGTTTGTTACTAGTACATTTCCTAGTTTGTTGTAACAGAATTATTTTCATACATCGAGTTTGATAATGCTGTTCATCATTATTTGTTTAGTTGGAAAGAACAGAACACCCATGAATATAAATATGAGAAGATACGGTATGATTTCCAATGAGACAACTCTCTACCAGAGACCAAATGACATAGAAGTCAACAACTATAGGTCACCGTACGGCCTTCAACAATGACCAAAACCCATACCGCATAGTAAGTATTATTTTGATTTTTAACTAATATGCAATAAAAAAATATATAAATCACTGCTTTCAGAGTACACTCCCAGCCATCATTGTTTTGTTTGATTAACTTCCCGTTGCAAATGTATTGTTTATATTCACCGTGTGTCCATTCTGACGGCAAATGTCATCCCTTTAACTGAGTTAAACAACCTTAATAAAGTTTTCAATAAAGAGCCAAATATTATCGACTGTACAATTTTACTAAAGATATTTTGACTTTCATTTATTTTTAAGTTTTCAATCTTTAAATGCAAGTTCAGTGTAGGTAAACGGAAACCAACATATGATTGAATAGAATAAGTTACTTTTCGTTGCAAATGAAATCTTTTCAGTTTTTACTATTTTGGGGAGTATATTGCGGTCTGTACATTTTCCTTTCCGACGAGAGTCTGTTCTTCAAATTCTCTTCACCCCCATTGGTGACTGGGATAATGGTACAGAAATATGTTCAATTTTGGTCGTTTTCCGACCGGCAGTAAAAACACTTGCCAATGTGGATCGTACGTTTGGCAGACATGCCCGTCCAGAATTATGTCCCTCTCCAATATACCTTCAGTTTCCAGTGACAATCCTAATTTCCCGCCCTTTATAATTTGGTCGATTTCCTATTACAGGATCAACTTATTGTATTAATTTTTAATTTTTTTTTCGTCCAGAACATGCACGAAATATTTGCCACTGAACGTCAAGCAAACAGCAATCAATCAATCAATTCACTTTTCAGCGGAGTGTTTTTTATGAAATAGTAAGATCACACTTTGTAGTAGGAAATCAAAATGTTACAAGGTTGTAGATTGCCTTATATTTATAGGATCGTGGTATTGCTTACATACCAGGTGGGAAGTGCTGTCTTTTCCATTTAATTCTTTTTACTCGGCAGGGAGAGTAGACACTAATTTAAATACCACGTTTACCGATTCTGTGAAGTAGATTTTCAATTACGACCTGTATCGGGCTATTGGAGTGTCGGACTAATGGGGTGTCGCACTATTCGGGTGTTGGACTATTGGGGTGTCGGACCAATGGGTTGGCGTTTGTTAAATGTGTTATGTTTCCTTCTCTGCATCTTTGCCAATTGGTTTAAGAGAATAAAGTATATATATATATCATAATTATTGTATTGTTATAGATTACATGTACAACAACAACAACAACAAAACAAAACTACTGAGTTACACATATCAAACTTAATATAAGTGGATGAATCTAAGTTGTCTGTAAAATAAAAAGAAAAAAACCATTAAATTCGATAATACGAGAAACATTCTTATGTTTTGATAATGACGTTCATAATTTCATTCCCTTGCTGAACCTGAAAGTAAAAAAGGAAACGAAGTCATGCCTCACTTATTAAGAAAAAATATAAGTAATATTATAAAATTTATGTTAACAGTAATACAAATTGAAATATTAATAAAATAAAAAAACATTCATTTCTTGAACAATGTTGTATTTAATCGTCTTGAAAGAATCTGCCATGAAAACTGTATGGCATAGTGGTAGGTAAAATGGCTTTACTCATAGTTTGCATAGTTGTAGCATTAATGAGTACAAGATAACTTTCTTTCTTGATGCCATCAAATACATGTGTCATTAAAACACCGTCGTCTTCTCTGCTACTATCAGGTGTAGGTACAAACCAAGCTTCAGATGGGTAATGGTTATCAATTATCCATGATAAATCGCCGTCTACTCTACATACATCTTTTTTTACTAATGCCCATTTATTAAAATTTTTGTCGTCTGCTTTTATGACTAATCCATATGCGTAACAGTATTTTACGTGTCTGAAATTCTCATTGATGGCCGGCATATCTAAATTGTTTGCAAATGAATTATTTTTTGATGGTTCGAAAGATTCTTCAGAAACCGACGGTGTAATTAGATCTATTGTAAATCGTTTTATACCATTATAGAGAGTGATGTTATTGCGCAATGTTATAGAATGAATATAGTTCAAATCCATGGAAAACATATTGGATGAATTTTGTGTACAAATGTCAACAATGATCCTGTTATTGTCTTCGTAAGCATTAATATGATGGAAATAGGACACAAATTTATCATATTTCACAGTGGTCACCTTATTTGTTCTTAAATCAACAACGTAGATAAAGGTAGGGTCGTTGTAACGATATTCCATTGCATCTGCTATGTCACCATATTCTGCTACCTTCATTATATCTATTGAAACTGGCTGACCAATGAATATCACATAGTTCATTGTGACGGAAAATGAGTGCATATATGTTTGTGCTTCAATATCCCACGTGACAATTGCCTCTCGATCTCCAACCGATGTCATTCGATACAAAGTTATGATACTTTTAATGTAAGGAACTATGCTTACACTCATCAGATACGTCAGATAAGTTTCTTTGCCGAATTCTTTGATTGGGTGAGCTGATGAAAAGCCGGGGATATAGATATGTGACTTAACATTCATTGGTGGTGCAATAAGTTGCACTGTTTTTAATGTATCTTCCTCAATTTGGTAAACGTTCCAAATATCATTTACGGACATGTATTCATATTGCCCAGTCTTTGAATCACGTATCCTATATACATTTACGTTCAAGTTTTCCATTTGGTTTTTCAGCGATTCTATTTTTTCCATTTCATTATATGGGGGAACTAGCTTACCAAACTGAAAATAAGGTGCAATTGTATTAGAAGCTAGAGATTTCTTATAGTATTTCGTCTGTAGAAATCTTGTAGTCATCGACACCGTCCCGTTGCCATAAAACGTAAAACTGTGAAGTTTCCCAAAGCCATCAAATGCATTTGTGAATGACCTTTGTCCCATTTCGTACCTGGCACCACCATTTCGAATCTAAAAAGAAGAATACTATTCATAATATACAAACTGAAACGGAGCAAAACGTTGGCTAAAATGTCAGGAAGAAGTGAGATTATTCAGCAACATTTATTCAAATGAATATTTTAATGATGATTCGAATTCTATAAAGATTACAAAAGGGAAGTAACCCTGACGAGTCATTATAAGTGAATGTATTATACTGTATTAATTAAAAGTTTATGAGATCATCGTTTTAATCATTTAATAATCTTCGTTTGAGGCACTTCTATTAGATAGACTTTTGAAATTAGATCTAACTTGAAAAAGACATTAGAAACTGACCTTATCACGAACTTAATCTACATAAATGGAAAAAACGGGTCAAGATCAGTAACAGGTTTCAATGATTGCACAGATCATATAAATATTAATTAACGTAATACGGGGTATACGCAAATGGGACAGCAACCCAAAAGCCACTACAAACTGAAAGACATCTGGAAATCAACAAACGGTCTCCAAAATAGACAGGTTTAAAAAATATGCCAAACTCTAAAAAAATTGTTCCAAGTCTTAACAAGGTAGGAATAATTTAACAGAGAATATCAAAGAATTTCCATCGACACCAAATTCCCCCCAATTGACATTGAGAGACCATTACAAAAGACAACATAACTGACGAGGTTCATGACTTCGGACAGGCACATGAACATATCGCGCGGTTGAAATAGTGTTTTGTCTTAGATTTTAATCTTATTATATATAATCTCGAACATTTAAATAACAAAAGTTATATGAAAGAACAAACAACAAAATATGTACATGAAAGGCAACAAACCTACAGTAACGGTACAATTGACAAAAAACACAAGTAAAAGCAAAACTATAATAAACATTAAGAATTCAGGAACTGCGAGTACTCTTAGATCGATGCTTTATGTCTTTTTTCTTTATGCTAGTTATGTTTGTGCTTCGTGTCTATTTGATGAGTCAAGCCATTTCCAACTAATGTTGATTTGTTTTTTTCATGTTGTGATGTACACCACTGTCCCAGGTTAAGGGGAGGGTTGAGCGCTCACAAACATGCAATCCTCGCCACATTCTATATGCGCCTTTCCAAGTCAGGACATTGTAATTCATTGGTTGTCGTAGGTTGCTGTCTTTCATATTTGTATTTCGTTTATTGTTTTGTCATAAATCAGACCGTTGGTTTTTTTTCTATCAATTGTTTCAAATTTTGTCATGTCAGAGCCTTAAAGTTTCAAACCGGACTATACGGTATGGATTTTGCTCATTGGTGAAGACTGTACGATGACCTATAATTGTTGCTTAAATTCGCTTCATTTTGGATGTTATTTGAAAGTAAGTTGTCTTATTGGAAATAATACCAGATCTCCTTATTCTAAATTAATGTTAAACAGATCGCAACTTATGACAACAAGCTCGCAGTATAAATCTGCTAGCAGAAAATCATGCTATCCTAAAAGTTCAAATGTTACTTATGATAACTGCAAAGATCAGCAACTCACGAAAATTGAACGTTTATCGTGACAATGAGACAAATATTGGGTGAAATACCTTACAATGATTAAATATTAAAAAAAAAGTCAATCAAGATACCAGCATTATAATTATGTACGCCAGACGCGCGTTTCGTCTACAAAAGACTCATCAGTGACGCTCGATTCAAAAACGTTAAAAGCCTAGATCAAGTACGAAGTTGAAGAGCACCTATAGTTCACCTGTTACTTATAGTAACTGCGACATTCACCAAACTTATTGCACAATGTAGAACAATAAACCATGTCAGAAATGTCCTACCAGATATACAAGAACATCTTACAATGAATTAATAGACCAAATTTATAACGCCCAAATAGATTGTGTCAGGTAAACGGATATGGTTTAAAATTATCAAATGCTCTTAAATAATGATGTTTTACATTGCTTTTCGGCATAAAAATACCTTGCCAAAAGAAAGAAAACACATTACGTTTAACATTTCTTAATTTCTAAAAAGAAAAATTGTAAAATTATATATTAAGTACGAAATTTAAAAATTAAACGTTAATTTTTAACAATTTTACTTATTATCTCATTAGATTGACTCGTCTAGAGTACGTTTTCACCGTTGAAGAAAATATATTAACTTGTTTTCAAGGTGCCACAAGTGAAAATATATGCAATCTTCAATTTACTGTTAGGATCAGGGTATGAATTTTCCAAAAAACACAACAGCGTCGGTACCAATGCCAAATATCTCTCTTTTTTTTAATTTTTTAAAGAATATTGGTTCCATCGAGAGAAAAAAACAGGAGAGACGACTTCCTATTAACACCCCCCCCCCCCCCTTCTTTTGACGGAATTAGCATAGAAATACACATGAATGGGATTCTAAAGGTAATCCCTGACAAAACCCAACTGCATATACTTACTTTTTACATCACTTCGAAAATATGAATAATTCACAAATGATGAAAATATTTTAACTTAATGTAATGACACTCACTATAAAAGGTCGAAAGCAATTTTGATAGAATTTAGCAAAATTTGCGTAATTATAAAAAAAATGAAATAAGAAGAACATTGTGATTCAAAACCAAAATTCTGTAGGAAGTAATTCTACATATTGTATTTCAAATACAAATGAATTTGGTTTGGTCATCGATGTCCTTCGATACAAAATTTCACAAAAACGTGTGCAATATTGTCATCAACCTCAAAATGTCACTCTGAAAATCATCGTGATAGTATAGAAATATGTAAATACGTGCATTTTTTTAAGTATATAAAATAGACTCCTTAATATTAAAATTCCAGTAGGCTTTAGCAGCTGTCTGATTGTGAGGGAAACAAAAGCAGGCGAAACTGGCCTTACTCCGTTTCTGGCATGAATGGAGAATTTCGGCAGGGTTACACAAAAATAACTTAATTCAATCAAATTGGTTAAGACTTTATAAAAATTACGAGTCCATTTCATAATGTGTACTAGGATCTGTCACTGTGGTATAGTTTGTAGGGACAGTATGATAGATTTCTAAAAATTATGTCTTGTAAAACAAATTAAACGAACATAAGTTAAAGTGGATGTCTTAACTAAAATACAACCTATGTGTTTCTATTTGTACCGTTTCCCAATCTTTAACTGGCAATATTTTCACAAAAGCATTACAGTTTCATTAGAACAGCATTGGGAGAACGTGCAAAACAACGTGAAGTTCCGTTTTTGAAGAAAGTGAAAACAGAAAGATTTTTGGTCTCCAGAATTCCAAACGTTCGACAAAGTTTGTTGCTGGCGAAATAAAAAAAAACATGTTCTGAATGACGCCCCCATAGTAGTTCAAATATGTTTACTTAAGAAAAAAGACAAATGAACCAGAAACAAATTTCACATGTAAGTGTATTCTTCTCCAAAATGAACACATACTATATCTGGCATTAAGCATCTAGCATAAAACACATCACCCTCTTATCTTATATTTACTTACCAATGTTCCTTTGAGCCATCTTGGAACAGGATTTGAAAATGTTATTGGTTTGTTGTTAAATTCGTTTAAGTTTGTTCTGAAAAAGTCGACAAAGCCAGAAGGATCATCTTCTACCAATGTTGCCGCAGCACAGAAAGACGAAGACAAAATAAAGACAATTAAATGTGACGGACACCTCATTTTGTTGCAAATTTAGCTGAGTTATCTTGGTATAACGGAGTTTATATACCATCGTCAGTGTTAAATAATTGACCATTGAATGGCCCAAGGTCAATATAAAGATTAACACGCTTTCAAATTATAACTTGATAAATGATTAATTTAGTGCATATCAGAATTTAAAAACAGCGTGCCTTCTCACAACATATAGAATATTAAAAGTTTAGAGCTGGGTTCAATTTTGTGTCTTGTTTGATAAAGTATGACATCGTTCTGATTTTCATTCCTCGTTTGTCAATTATAGAATTGGGTACTTTTCTTATTATTTCTTTAATTATGATATTTTTCGTTAATATATATTTTCTTCTCTGATCTAGTTAGCAAAAGGATGTTTATTATTAAAATAAACTTTTTTTTAACTCTTATGCACAATTAAGTGTTATGCCAGCATTTCTCTCTCGTTTTATTAATTTTTTTCATAGATTGTCGATTCCTGTAATTTGATTGTGACATTTAAATATTTAGCTGTCTGTGTAGAATTTATTCTCAAATTGTCCAGAATCGGTGCAATTTATTGGGAACGACTAAGTTTTTAAATCAGCGAAACAATTCGTACAATTTACATTTAAAAATATTTATATATATGTACATTATATATAATCTGTTTCAATTACAGAAAACGAAGTACGGTAGTATTCTAGTATTTTGACTGTTCAATTTATATAAAAATAATGAGATGTGGTATGATCGCCAATGAGACAACTGTCTACCAGAGTTCATATGAAGTGGATGTGAGCAATCATAGGCCACCGTACGGCCTTCAACAATGAGAAAAACCCATACCGTATAGTCATCTAT